GCAGTGGTGGCAGTATAGTTTTGAATTTCCCTGAGTCCCCACACAAAACCAGACACTGCAACTAGATAAAAACCAATAGCCCATTTACCATAAAACTGAGTGACCTGAACCACAAAATGCAAGCAGATAAGGACAAACCACCAATTGCCATTAAGATGTGGTTGATAACAATGTCCATGTGGGAGAAAGCAGAGGACACGAGAAGCACAAAACACCAAAAGGTACTTACTGGAAAGCTGTCCAGGCCAATCTGAGAGCAGCAGCTGAAACTGGAAGGGATTTTGCCCAATGCAATAACAGATGAATGTGAGGGGCCTCAGTAAGTTCTGAAAGGCACTGAAATAGTCTCGCATATGAGTAATTTTCAAACCAACAAGGCACAGCTTCCTTCCGGGAAAGGACCCTACACTGAGGAGAAACTGCTAGAGGTGGAATCAAAGTTGAGCAGGATAGAAACAACTGACACAAGGAAAGAAAAGATCATACAAGTGTAGGGGTGGATAACTCAGAAAGCAAGCAGCCATGTTTTTGAACAATTTACAAAAGCAACACGAGAGGGAGCTCTGTGAACTTAGAAAAGCCACCCAGAACCACCTCTAGAACGTCAGGAAAAATATGCTCCTATTGAATGAAGTAACAGAATAGTAATGAAGATTGTGTCTCATACCAAGTTATTTTTAGAAAAAGGTGAATAAGGAGCAGAATAATATCTCTATGAATAATAAAAAAATACCAGGAATACATGCATACAAAACAGATAAAAATTTACACATATTAAAAATATTTTAAAATATGTATATATTTTAAAATATTTTTAAAATTTTTTAAATGTTTAAGACATTTAAAAATATTTAGAAATATTTTAAACATTTAAAAGTATTTAAAACAACATAAATATGACTTATGGAAACTCAGAAATGAAGTAATACATGTAGGAAATAGAATAGAAGAAAACCTCTAAATTTTGGTGAATAAGATACAGTCACAAGAAATGAGAAGTTTGGGGGAAGTCTGGCACTGGAGAAAAGCTTCAATCTGAGGGGGAAAAATATTAGCAAATAGAATCCAACAATTCATAAAAAATAGTATATATTGACCAAAGGGAGTTATTTTCAGGAAACTAAGGATGATTCAATATTGTATTGGCCATATAACATTATACGGAGCAGATTATAAGGTAAAATGAAGAAAACTTGGATATTTTAAAAATAGTCCTGGAGTAGGGAAGACATGTCTCAGCAAGATATCTAACCCAGGAACCGTAATAGAAAATATTGATGAATATGACTATAAACAAGTTATAGATTTCTGTATGGCAAAAACATAAAGTCAAAGAGGAAGAGCAATGTCAAAAGTATAGTTACAACACTCAATGAGAAAAGGATACTTCTGGGCTGGCCAAGTGGCTCAGTTGGCTATGAGTTGGCTTAAGAGCGCAAGCTCTGAGCAACGGGGCCGCTGGTTCAGTTCCCACATGGGCCAGTGATGTTGCACCCTAGCTGAGCTGCTGCTGAGCTGCCAACAGATGGCAGGATGGCTCAGCTGGTGTAACAACAGGACTGCCTGTTCGATGGTGGGCTATGCCCACCCGCAACTAACACTGAACTTGACACCTTGAGCTGAGCTGCCGCCTGGATGGCTCAGTGGATAGAGCGTGCATTCTTAACAACAAGGCTGCTGGTTTGACT